TCTATATTTTGGCATCTGCTTATCATAATTTGATAAATGGTGTTACTGACTCAATGTCAATCTTATCATATTACATTTTTTAGTATCGTTTATTTGATTTTGTGGTTATATATATATTTTGGAATTCTCCAGGTAAGGTCAAGGAAAGGTGAAGTGAAGGGAGGAGCAAAAGTGGTGCCAATAGCACTTGACCAGGTCAGTATTGAAGAAATTTTAGGAAAAGTTTTCCTGATATGCTGTATCATTTATAGAATCACGTGGGCTTTATACAATTGTTGTGTTGCAAATAACAGCAAAGACTACAAATTTATAGGAGTAAGCAGCTAACTATGCACAGTGTCTATGATTATAGAGGAGATAATTGGAGCAAATGTTTAGCAATGTTCATGTGTTGCTGTTTTCACACTTTTAGGTACTCGGCTATTAGATAATTGGGTAATGGAACCGGGGGGGNGGGGGGGGGGGGGGGGGTTCTTTCTAGATTCAAGCAGGGATGGTGTTATTGTAATTCGATCTTGTTAGGACAAGTTGAAGTAATGACTGATGGTTACACTACATTATTTCATTTGGTGATACTCTTTTGAAGAATTAGCACAGGTAACTTACTCGGAATAGAATTTGTTGACTCGTTTCCTGTTCTATTATGTTATCTTGGTTAGCAATAATGACACAAGAATATAATATTTGAAATTTGAGTCATTAGTTTTTTGGTCCCACCAATTGCAGGTTTATATGTTGAAGGTTGAAGGAATTGCATTCAGGTTTCTGCCTGATCCCGTTCAAATAAAAAATGCACTAGAGGTTAGTATTGCGAGTCTTTCTAAACTTAAAGGGGTGATATCAGTTGTCTTGAGTTGATATTATTGATCAAGTTGACAAATCCCAGTATTCCCGCAGCATACCATTTTTGTTGCCTGCCTTTTACCTCCTCATAGTGATCTCTTTGGAATTTGTGATAGGATCATTCATTTTTGTAATATTTGCAACCAATTGACCAGCATTCTCTTCCTTACTGCTAGCTAAAATCTTCCGGCGTCAAGAACGGATTTGATGGAGTCCCAGTTTTTCAGGTATATACATTAACCCATTGCCTGTTTTTTAGATCATCATCTCATACAAAGTGTATCCATTTTAGTACATCACAGTTTCAGTAATGCATCTATGAGATGTACAATAACATGGGCAAAAATCCATGTTACATGCTCACTCTGAAAATACCTGTTGGTTCTCCATCTGTTCCATACTGGAATCTCTCAATAGAGTTATGCTTCTTTGAGTTGATTACTTATTGATTTGTCCGATCTGAATCACATTGTCTTCCTTCTCTCTAGGTCTATCTAGGTATCCATCTTAAGCCATCCTAAAGTGAAGTAAATACGTTTCCATATTTTGATAGAAATCGATCTAATTCTTTCATTTTGGACACGAGAAATAATTTTTTCTTTCTTTATGTTCTCGTTTGCATGAAAATGAGGTTGTTGAGGCTTCTGCTCCCATTTATTATTTATTACTTAGTCTGTGCAATCTCTAAAATTGATATTGAAAAGTTAGATAGAATCTCATTCTTTCAGGCAGGGGTGGGCGCGGGTCGGTTCGGTTCGGTTTGGTTCGGTTCTGTGTTTTTCGATTTCAGAAATTTTTGGGTATTTAGTAAATGGAACCGTGGGGTCCAAATATAATTTTGGAACCGTTCGGTTCGATTCGGTTCGGTTGGATTCTATTCGGTTCCGTACTATAA